GTCGTGGCCCTTGGCAGTCTCAGCTTCTCCTGCGACGAGGAGCTCGAGCGCGGCTTCGACGTCGAGTCCGCTCTCGGTCCGCGCCAATGCCTTGCGCGCGTCCTGCGGCGAGAAGCCCATCTCGACGATCTGGCCGAGGATGTGCGGCGGCGGCGAGACCGAGCGCGGGTAGGTGGTGCGACTGCCGCTGGCCGGTGACGGCTGTCGAGAGCTCACCGATGACGAGGTGGTCGTCGAGGCCCTCGACGCTGGCTGCGCGTGGCCTCGCGTCGGATGCAGCGTCGCACCCGGGCCAGACCTCGACTGCCTGTCGACCGGCTTGCCGAGAGCGCCGAGAATATCCTCGTCGTCGTCGGCGATGCCGGCCTCTGGGTCGTGGCCGAAAGAAGGCGTTTGCTGCTGCTGTGTGCCAGTCGCGGCGGCGTCAGGACCGTCGAACGCATCAAAGTCGAACGGATCCGCAGGAGCAGCTGCGGCGGAGGGAGGCGGACGTCTGGTCGAGGTGCTGGATTCTGAAGACGCTGCCTGTTGCGGGAGGGGATCTGCGAACGAGTCAAAGTCCCAAGGATCGCTCGAAGGTGCCGACGCCTTCGCCGGCTGGGCCGGCTTGGCGGCCGCGGAGGGGGGCTTGGCGAATGGCGTCGAGCTGGCGCCAGACTTTTCGAAGCTGTCCCAGTCGCTGTCGAGGCCTGCCCAAGCGGCGTTGCTCTGGCTGAGGCCGTGCTGCTGGGCGGAGGCGCGCTGCTTGGCCTCCTGCTGCGCCCGCATCTGCCTCTCGGCGAGCGTGAGGTTGCCGTCGCGGGACGAGGAGCGGAAGTCGCCGCCGCCGACCCCGCCCGAGGAGGCTGCGCCGCCAAACGAGAGGAGCGAGGAAAAGGCATCCTGGGACGAAGATGACGAGGACGTGGGCGCAGAGGGAGCTGCGGCGGAGGAGGAGGGCGTGGCGGTGCGCTGAGGCTGGTGCGATGCGGCGGCACGAGGAGGTGGTGGAGCGGGCGATGCGGCGTGGAGGGAGCGGGTGAGCGAGTCAAAGTTGTAGCTCGACGTGGAGGCGACGCCGTTCCTGGCGGCAATGCTGCTGCCAGTGCTGGTGTTGGCTGCGCTTGAGGAGGAGGAAGCCGGGGGCCGACCGCCGCCGGCGGTGCCCATGGCCTGCTTCCAGTCGAGATCGAGCAGGTCGTCCATGCTGCCAACGCGCGCCGGCCGATGCTGTGGTACGCGATGCGATGTGTGGTGCTTCGGAGCGGCGATGGGGGCGAAGCGATGTGTCGAGGTGTCGATCGATGTGAAGAGAGGAGGAGAGAGGAGGAGACAGAGAGAGGGGAAGGTGGGGAGGCGTAGCGTAGCGGAGCGAGGCCAGGCGAGGCCAGGCCAAGCCAAGCCAGGGCCAAGGCAGGAAGCGCACCAACCACCCTCAAACTCACGCCGGGCGAGCACAGCCAGCGTGCAAGCCTGCTCATATCGGCCGAAAACACAGCCACGCCACGCCATCCCCGCACTCGACCGTCACTACAGAAGGGCCAACGTGTGAGATTACAGCGGCCACCATCGAAGTGAACAACAGGCAGGGGCCCACGAACCCTCGACCCTCCTCTTACTCTCCAGAAGCTCGACTACGCTACTCGCTGTCTGCGCGAGCTACGCCGCCGTGGCAGCAGCGGGCCCACCGCCAGCCTGCGGCCGAGGCTGCTCGCCCGCGTCGCCACCGGCCGCCAGCGCAGCGGCGCGCCTGGACCCGACAAACTTGCGCTTCTTCTTGCGCACGGCCTCGCGGTGCATCTTCTTAAACTCCTTGGTGAGCCGCACGCGCCTCGACGCCCAAACCTCGTCCAGCTCGGCCTCGGTCTCGGTGCGGCAGAAGACCACGTAGCCGACCGTGTTGCTCGACACGGGCACCGCATTGGCGCCCGTCATTGACGATCCCGCGCCCCCAAAGCCTCGCGACGGCGCCAGCAGCCGCGGGGCCGCCGGCGCCACCAGGGGCGCCATCTGCGGATCCTTGAGCCTGTCCAGGATCGAGCGCGGTCCCGGACGCGCGCTGGGGAACAGCATCGGGATCTCGGGGTTGCCGTCGAACCACGAGTGCGGGCCCCGCGCTGCCACTGCGGCGGCGGCGGCGGCGGCAGCGGCGCTCGATGCACTGGCCTCGGTACCCGCTGCATCGGCAGCTGCGCCCCGCGCCTCTTCCTCGTCGTCGACGACGGCAAAGTCGAGCTCGTCGTCGAGCTCGAGGTCGAGGTCGTCGCCCAGCACCCCCATCAGCGAGAAGCCCTTGCCCGCTGCGCTCTCCTCTTGCGGCCTAAACATCTCGGTCAGCCTCTTCATCCGCGTCTCTGCATCGCCTAACGCCGGCTCAGAGGCAGGCGTCTCGGTCGGAGCATCGCTCGGCTTGGCTTTGTCGTTGACCGAGGGAGCCTCCGGAGCAACGGCAGGCGTCGGTGAGGATTCGCGGGACGGCTCGCGCTCCGCCATCTCCGCGTCTTCGGGTTCGCTGACGTTGACACCGGCGTCAACCGCCTCGACTGCAGCAGCAACTTCCTTCGGCTTCGGAGCGCTCGAGGCGGAGGAAGAATCAGAGTGGGAGCTCGACTCGAAACCCGAGTCGGAGTCCAAGTCCGACTCGGCGTCGCCCTGATCGTCTTGAGGTGGCAGACCGTCGTCGCCGTGAGGTGATGCTGCTGCCGCTTGCGACTCGTTCGACGAGGAAGATGCAGAGGACGACGACGACGACGACGACGACGACGACGACTCATCGCTGTCCGAGTCATCCGAGCCCGGAAGCAACGATGCGCGAGGCTCAATGGTGAGCTGATCGTCTGCATCACCATCCGGGGTCGCCGCCGCCGCCGCTACGCTCTCAACCTCGATAGCGCCAGGCGCAGGCTTGGAGATGATCGCCTCGATGTCGTCGTCGTCCTCCTCGGCATAGGGCGTGTAGATCGGGGCCGGGGCAGCTTCGACCTGGCCGACGTCGACGATGCCCGAGCCAAACAGGCTCGACAGCAGACCGAGCGTCTTGTCGCGTTCGCCCGCATAGTCCTGCGCCGGGACGGCCTTGGTGCCCTGGCCGTTGCCGCCGGAGATGGGGCCCTCCTGGTATCCCTCGGAAAAGTCGGATTCGGCATCGGGATCGTAGGGAGCCTTGGGGATCAGGTCGAAGAGCGGCGCCGGCGCTGGTTCCGCTGCCTTGGCGCTGGCGCTCTGAGCCACGGCCGAGGGTTGCTTTGCCGTCGCTTCCGCTTCCGCTTTCGCGGCCGAGATCGACGAGGGGAAGCCAGAGAAGAGATCGCTCCCCGCGTCCGACGCTGCAGCCTCTGCCTCGCTGTCGGACGCATCCTCGTCGGGGCCTGGCTCGCTCTTCTTGGCCGCGGCCAGCGTGCTCGGGAAGCCGGCGAACAGATCGCTGTCGGCGTCCGACAGCTCTGCATCCGCACCGAGCTCGAGTTCGAGCGCTTCGTCGTTGGCGGCAACCTCGCCGGCCTCTTCGACGGCGTCGCGATCGGCCTCGCCGCTTCTCTGCTCGACGCCCGCTGCACCGGCATCCGCTACCGGCACGGTGCGAGGGGGCGGCACCACGGGGCGCACCAGAAGCTTGGCAAACTCCTCGTGGAGCGTCTTGCCATCCTTTCCGACGTATCTCCACCGGACCAGCCTCGTCGAGGCGTCGGCCGGAACCGCAGCGGCGCGCGAGGCGGCAGCGGCGGCGACGTCGCTCCCATCAGAATCGTCCTCGTCTCCGTCGTCATCGCCGATCTCGTCGCACTGCCACTCGCCTGGGCCGAGCGAGCCGACGTCGAGGGCGCCCGCAGCGAAGCCGTCGAGCATGGATCCGGTGATGTGGACGGCGCCGTAGCGCGTGGGGTCGATGGTGATCCGCTTGGCGCGCTTCGAGGGCACGGCGTTGGCCCGCGGACGCCGCGTGCCCTTGACATTCTCGCCGTCCTTTGTCTTGAGCGGGGCGGGCTTGGGCAGCGGGTGCTCGGGACGGATGTGCAGCGGCCGGATCAGGTGGCCGGCGGGCGTCCGCTTCCAGCCCCACAGGCCCGCCTTGACCCGCTGCGGCGTGACGGGCTCCATGTTGCTGCTCTCGACGCCAATGTGGCCGGGGAGCCGCTTGCGCTTGGCTGGCTTGTCGACTCCCTGCGCCGCCTTTTCCTTTTCCAGCTCGATGATCCTCCTCTTGCGGTAGTCTGGTTTGGCCTCTCCGACGCGCAGCTTGGTCCCCTTCCACATGGAGCCATTGAGGAGGTTGATGCAGCGCGACACCTGCGGGCCCGTCGCCTCGATGGTGAGGTAGGCAAACGGCCGCAGCTGGCCCGTGGCGCTGGGCGGGCCGGGCCACTCGTCGAGGGCGACGACGCGGCCAAAGGCGGAGAAGCGCTGCTTTAGCTCCTCCGCTGTGAAGGCTTCTGTGAGCCCCGAGACGTGGAGCCTTTTTTGACCGGGGTGCGGCTCATGCTGCGGCGGGTCCGAGTCTGGTTCTTCTTGCTCTTCGTCTGTGGAGCGAGGGGTGTCAGAGAGGGGTGGAGGAGGGGACGAGGACGGGGACGGGGATGGGGACAGGTACGAGAATGGGGGAGGAGCCGAAGGTCAGCGCACGGGTCCGCAATGTGGCAGGATGCGATCGACGACCGCGACGAAGAGGCCGGCAGGGGAGAAGGACGAGACCGAGGGAAACTTGCATTTGCCTTGTTGGCCTTGGCCGAGGAGGGAGGGAGGGCTTCGACGGCAGTGAGGGCGACGGACGGCAGCGATGACGGCGAGGACGGCGGGGGCTTGGCGGCGGCGGCAGCGGCAGCAGCGGCGGCCTTTGCCTTTTTGTGTTCGCGAGCCATTGCGAGGACGCGGGCCTGCTCGTCTGCCTGCCTCTTGTCCTCGTCTTGCGGGTCAAAGGCCTCGACGACGACCTCGGTGTGGTGCTCGTCGTCGTCGTAGGTCTCGTCATGCAGGGCGGGCACGGTGTCGATGTCGCCGCCGTCGTCACCGCCGTCGTCTTCGGCCTCGCTGTCGCTGGGCAGGCCCATTGCGCGTCGGTCGGCCTTTAGGTTTTCCCTGGCCCTCTGCTTCTTTGCCTCCCTGGCCTCTTTGCGGGTGGCGAGCTGCTCCTCTTTTTGCTTTTTCCGGAGGAAATCCCTGCCCGCCTCCTTTCTGGCCGCCTTGCGCTTCTGGAAGCCGGTGAGGTACTCTGCCCTGGCGGCCTCGTCAAAGTCAATGGCGGCAGTCTTACCCTTGTGGCGGCCTGCAGCCGAATGGGAACCCGAGGAGCGCTGCTTTGGCTTCCTTTTCGCCGACTTGGCCGAGGGGCCTGCGCCGTTCTTTTGCGCCGACTCGGTGAAGGCGAGCAGGCCGGCCGACGGGGTGGCAGACATGGCGAGGCGGGCCAGGAAGAGAGAGGGGGGTTTCGGTTTCGGAAGGGTGAGAAGCGGGCCAGGAGCCGGAGGGATGCTCAATCGGTCGAGGAGGCGGCAGGAAAGAGCTAGGATGAAGGGTATGAGAGTGTGTGTGTGGCGGGGGAGGCGCGTGGCGGATGCGAGGGTGACGGTGGTGGTGATGAGGAGCAAGAGGAGCAGGCAGGGGTGAAGAGCAAGCGAGGCCAGCAGCGAAGAGCCAGGGCCGCCAGCCTGCCAGCCTGCCAGCCTCGAAGAAAATTCTGATTTGGGGGCGGCGAGCTACATTTTGCCCACGGCCACGCCCGAGTTCCGAGGTTTGCCCCCGTCCATGGTGCTGGCGCCGCCCAGCCTGGCCCAGGCCTCGCCTCGCCCAGCCGGCAACCGTCGTCCGCCTCTTTTTTCCCCTGCTCCGCCGACGCCACCTCCTCCCTAGCCTTCATTGACGACGACGACGACGACGACGACTGCTGACAGCCTAGCTGCAAGCAGAGGCGGGGAACCAGCCAGGAGCTCCCCTCGCGCACCGCGTTACTCCGGGCGCCCTCCGCGACGACGCTGCTGGATGAGGTCGATGCACTGCTGCACCGTCCTCTGGCGCTCGGGCGTGAGGGCGAGCGCCGTGATCTCCTTGCCTGCACCCTGCGGGCTTCCAGCGTTGAAGGGGGGCTGCGGATCGTACTCGAGGATGAGCTGGGTTGCCTTGGCGCACGCCTCGCCCTTGAGGACCGCGAGGAGCGTCAGTCCAAAGTCGAGGCCCGCCGTGACGCCGCCGCCCGTGAGGCGGTTGCGGTCGTGAACGACGCGCTGGCGCACCGTCTCGATGCCCATGGCCTCGAGCACGGGCAGCGCCGTCCAGTGCGTCGTGGCGCGGTAGCCGTCCAGCAGCCCGGCGCAGCCCAGCAGCACCGCACCCGTGCACACCGACGTCACGTAGCGCGCGCCACGGCCCAGCCGCGCGATGGCCTCCATCAGCCCGTCGTCCTGCAGCGCCGCGATGATGTAGTGCGTCGGCGCGCCCGGTACCAGCAGGATGTCGACGCGCTGCACATCGGCAAACGTCGAAGAGGGAAGGATGCCGAAGCGCAGGTCGCTCCGCACCGCCTCGGAGCTCGTGTGGAGCAGGTGCACCTTGCAGTGCGGTCCCAGGGCAGAGATGGGACCGATGTAGTCTTGCTGCGTCACGCCGTCAAACAGGGCAACGCCCACCGAGAGCACGGCGTCCGGAGAGGCAGCCGGGGCCGTAGAGGAGTCGGTGCTAGACATCGTGAGGTGGTCGATTCGAGGTGCTCGGTCGGTTGGCAGGCAGGCAGTAGTATGGCACGTAGCGGCGAGGCAGGACGTCGAGGATCGTGTTGGAATGGCGAGGTGGAAAGGAGCAGGGGTCTGGAAGTCGAAGGAGGGCCTCCAACGGGACTCGAGGAAAGTCATGGGTCTTGGCAGCCAAAAGGACTCAGCCCGCCCGCCCGACCGCTGACGCCGGCTCGCTGCCATTCCGAGCCGGACTTGGCGGGTCCGCGCTCGAGCCATCGTCGACGAGGGGGACGGACGACACCAATAATCTCGTCGAAAGCGACAAGGTACCTCTCGCCTCGACTCTGCACCAACACGTCGGCCCCCGGGCTATCCTTTCACTTCATTCCGCTTCGCTCATCAGGCCGCCGGCTGGCTACACGCATCGCGAGGGAGAGGGCGCACAGCCGTGACTCACAGCGCCGTGTTGCCCGCGACGGGTCAGACGCAGTTGAAGCGGATGCCGTGCGGGGCGTATTCGACGGCGAAAGGCGCGCATTGTCGGTCGGTCGCCCCCGGAGATCGCGATCCGGAGTCGACGGCGTCAGCGGGTCGATCCGATGGTCCACGGCGATGTGGGGCACGGCGACGACGACGAGGGAAGGTCGACTCCTACCACACGAGGCCGGGGCGCGGGCGGATGGCGCCGGTGCTCGAGACATTGACAGACGAGCCGCCCGTCTGCGCCTCGATGAGGGCGGGCAGGACGGCCTGGGTGGCCAGAAAGACCGACTTGAGGTTGATGTCGACGACGCGGTCAAACTCGGCGTCGGTCACGTCGAGGCTGGGCTTGTTGCTGTAGGTCCATTCGGCATTGTTGACGACGACGGTGGGGACGTGGTCAAAGACGCGCCGGCAGCGGTCCTTTGCGATGGTCGCCGAAGACAACGACGACGACGAGGGGAAGGAGGAGAAGGAGATCGGGATGCGCGGCTGGTAGTGCCCGTCTTGCGGGACAAGGCGAGGCGCTCTTGTGTGCACGGCGACGTACACGAGCTCGAGCCCGACTAGACTGCCACGCCACGTACGGAAGTCGCGCACTCGGCTGGGATGGCGTGGAGGGGACGGGTAGGTACGGGTAGCATACCGGCAACCAAGCTCACTCACTCTACACCTGCTGTCGGGGCAAAGACGGCAGGGGTCTGGCGATGTACCTGTACATAGCCTTGCTTGCTCTGCTGCGATGTATGTAGGACGGGATGGAATGGCGACCGAGCGAGGACCGAAGCAGCAGGTAGGCTACAGTGGGCAGGCGGAGAGGTCGGTAAGGTTAGGCGAGTAGAGTAGGTGATGTGGCGAGCGAGGATGGCGTGGCGTGGCACAGCATGGCATCGAGAGCCAGCAGGCGAATGACGCCGTCCGGTACGGTGCGCGCTGCTGCTGCTGCTGCTGCTGCTGCCTCTGAAGCTTCGTTTGTGAGGGCGCCGCCCCGCTCCCTCTCGGTTGGGCTGCCAAACTCGACAGCCGAGATGCGGAGCACCGCATCGTGGTCCGCCACTGCTCCGCTGCTCCCGTTTCCCTGCTTGCTTGGTCGTGACGCCAGCCCGCTGGGCCCCCGTGGCTCAGCCACCACCCCGCACTTCACCACGCTCGCCTTTCTTCCTCAGCTTGGCCACCCGCGCCGCCACCGTAGGGATGCAGGCCGGTACCGGTCGATATGCGCTCAAACACGAGACGACGCACCTCTCTGTCCGAGCTCGGTCTCGGCAACTTGCTTCCCACCCCCCTCGCCCGTTCAGCCATGGCCACGACAGCAGCATCGGCGCCTGCTGACCCCCGTGCCACCCGTTTGGTGCTACTGTAGCTGCACTCGAGCTCGACCACGCGGCCATCCGGGTTAACGGCGAATCCTCCGCGTCTGCCTACCGTACCGCCACCAAGCCTTCCGACTGGGGACCTGCCCGGCGACCTCGGAAGCAAACGCACGCCTTTCTGCCGAATCCTCCGTCGACTCCGACCGCACGGGATGACGATCGGAAGATAGGCAGGGTGAGCAGGACGATCCGCTCTCGTCCCCGCTACCGTGAACCGGACTACGTTGCAGGACGTCGGTGGATATAAGGAGCGAGGCCCTCTCCTCCATCCCCATCTGCCTCTGCTATTCTCACGCTTCCCTTCAACCCCGGCTCTCGACCGCTTCCTCGAAATGAGACCGTCCAGCCGCGCCTTTCTCGCCCTGCTCAGCCTCGTCCTGGCCTCGGCCGGCCCCACGACGACGACGGCACAGCAGCCGGCCAACGTCACCGCCGGCAACCCGCTCGAGCTCTCTCCGCCGCGCCCGGACCAGATCGATCTGCGCTTCAACCTCACCTCGGGAGGGTACGACAACTACTTTATCCGCTCCAACCTCACCTCGGCCCAGCTCCTCGTCACCAACGCCACGGCCGTCACCCAAGACGACCAGCTCAACAGGTTCCTCGTCGCCTTCCCCGCCGGAAACTCGGGCGCCGTCGTCTACTTTCTCCCCCTCGACGACGGCCATGGCGCGGATGCCAGTGGCAGCAACAGCAGCACAGATGGCAACGCGACCGCTACCGCCGCCGCCGGCGCCGACAAGCAGCCCCTGACTGTGACGCTCGTCCCGGACTCGCTGCGCACCGCCTATGGACCCAACGACCTCCGCGGCGTCGCCGGTTCGCTCGAGCTGAGCACCAACGCCACTCTGGGCACCACGCTCCTCGGCTCGGTCCGCACACTTCGCGATTACGTCGAGGGCAACGGCCTCACCAACCCGCTCTTCAACTGGACCGTGACCCAGGCCGACGAGTCGACCGTCTGGTTCAGCCGCGCCTGGCTCAACGACACCATCCTCCGCGACGACCGCGGCCAGCCCGCGGGCAAGGCCCGGTTCGGCCTCGAGTGGCTCCTCCAGGCCAACGAGGGCACCGCGTTCAACGTCACCCCGTCCAACAACGGTACCTACACCCCGCCCAGGATCGAAATCCTCGTCCCCGCCGGCGCCGCCGCAGGGGGAAGCGTCAACTTCACCGTCCAGACCAACGAGACCAACCTCGATGGCCTCGCCGTCGACCAGCTCTTCTCCGACGCCGGCGGCGGCGGCGTTGATGACGGCACCAGGGCGGCGCAGGAGCAGGTGTCGTTCCTCACGTTCAGCAGCAAGTTTACCGCCGGAGCCTTCCGTTTCCTTACCTATTTCGGTCGCGATACACTCGTTACGGCGCGGCTGCTGATGAACCATCGTACCCTGACGCCCTTTGGCGTCGAGTCGGTGCTGAGCGGCGTCCTGGAACGCATCAACGCCACCTCGGGCCAGGTGTGTCACGAGGAGACGATTGGCGACTATGCGACCTTTGTCAACCTCAACGAGGGCCACCCTGAGTTGGGCAACGCGCCCTTCTACGACTACAAGATGAAGGACACGCACTACCTCTTGCTGCCGCAGCTGGCCGACTACCTGCTCCGCTTCAACGCCACCGCCGGCGGCAACGGGACGGGGCCGGAGCTGATGGCATCCGACGAGGCCAGGCGCTTCCTCGAGCGGCCGGCGGTGCTGCAGAACGGGACGACGTACCGCGACCTTCTCGACGCCAACGTGCGCTACGTCATGGATAGCGCCCGCCCCTTTGCGCGGGAGCAGCGGTACGACAACCTGGCGCGCATCCAGCAGGGTGTGCCCGTCGGCAACTGGCGCGACTCGAACCCGGGCCTGGGCTGGGGCGTGTACCCGTACGACGTGTCGACGGCGCTGGTCCCCGCGGCGCTGTACGCCATCTCGGACCTCGCCGCGTCGGGCCTGCTCACCAACCGGTCCCTCGCCGACGAGGCAAGGGCGTTGGCAGAGGTGTGGGAGCAGCAGGCTCCGCGCTTCTTTGAGGTCGATATCCCCGCCGACCAGGTCGAACCGCGCCTCGAGGAGTACGTGCAGCTGGCCAACCTGAGCACCTCGCTGCTCTACGGCAATGGGTCGCTCAACTCCACCGCTGCCTCCGAGGCCGGTCCCGGTGCAGGTGCAGGTGCAGGCGACAACGTTACGGCCCGGGCTCGCCGACGCTTCTTTGACCTGACGCGTCTCGAGGCCGATGCGCAGATGTCGGCCACGGCGCCAGCCCAGCTCCGTCGCCAGACGACCGGCAGCGGCGAGGATGGACAGAACAGCAGCGCCAGCACCGCCAAGGGCAAGACGATCTACGCGCTCTCGCTGCTCGAGGACGGCACGCCGGTGCCCGTGCTCCATTCCGACCTGGGCTTCAACCTGGTGTGGAACCGCAACGTGTCGCGGCGCACCGTCGAGGCCGTCGTCGAGGCCCTGTCGCCGTTCCCGCGCGGCCTGCTGACCAACGTCGGGATGCTCATCGCCAACCCGGCGTACGACGTCAACCGGACCAAGACGAGCGAGCTGGACCGTACCGCCTACCACGGCACCGTCAGCTGGGGCTTTCAGACGGCGCTGCAGGCCGCGGGCATCGAGCGCGTCCTGGCCTCGTGTGCGGCGGCGGGGGCCAACGACGCTTCCGGCTCGAACTCGACGACGTCCAACGGTGACGTGGATGCGGGCGTGGGGCGACGAGGAGCGACGGTGGTGCAGCAGAGCGGGCTGGTACGTCCCGAGTGGTGCGACGATGCCGACCTGGTCCGCCGCGTGCAGGAGGCGCAGACGTCGCTGTGGAACGCCATCAACGGCGCCTATGCCGAGCGGTTCGCAGAGGTGTGGAGCTGGACGTTCAACAACGTCTCGCAGCGCTTTGACGTGACCCCGCTCGGAGAGCTCTCGCCAGAGGGCACCGAGTCCAACGCCGTCCAGCTGTGGTCCTATGGCCTCCTGGGACTCGAGGACCCGACTAGGGCCGCTGCCTGACCGGACCGGATCGCAGCGGATTGCAGCGGAGGGGTCAGATGTCTTGTCGTTGTAGACTAGCATCGGCCATGGAGGAGAAGGAGCTTGAACTTGCTTGGCGTGTCTGACTGGCCGAGGATGTCCCCCCCCCCCCCCCCCGACTTTGTGAGTTCAGGACGAGGATCGCACTCGCGCTCGTTCCTCGGAGGCGGCGGGCCCGTCCCCGAAGCGCTCCGTTCGATCCTGCCCTGTATCCAACAGCGAGGGTGGACTCAGGGCTCCTTGTCCTCCTTCTTTCCCTCGTGTCCGTGTTCCTTCTCGTGCTCGTGCTCCTGCTCCTTCTGTCGCTCGCGCTCGGCCAGCTGTTCCGCCTCGACCTCATTCACGACCCTCTCCATCGTCCTCGCAGCATCGAGGGCGGCGGGGAAACCACAGTAAACCGCAGCGTGCAGAGCCACCTCTGCCAGTTCCTCCTTTGTGATGCCGTTGTTGAGAGCGCCGCGGGTATGTCCAGCGAGTTCGGTGGGTTTGGAGAGGGCGATGAGGATGGCGAGGTTGAGGAGCGAGCGATCGCGTCGACCCAGACCCGGTCGCGACCATACCTGACCCCAGGCGAACGACGTCACTGCCTCCTGCAGCGGCGCGTTGAAGGGCGTGGTGGACGAGAGGGCGCGTGTGGCGAATGAAGGTGACATCACCGAGGAGCGGATGGCTAGCCCCGTTTGGAAGGTGCTGCTCTGTGTATTTTCAAGGTGTGGCGAGAGCGGGATCGACGAGGGACCCGGGGCTGCTGGAGGAGCTGTCATCCTTTCTTTGCTTGCTCGTACAGTCGGTTGGTGATGTGGTCGTTGCGGATACGATCGAGGCGCGCTGGTCTGGCAAGTGCGACGCTGCTATCGATGCTGGTGGTGGTGGTGATGGTCGAGAGGAGAGGAGAGACGAAGGCAAGGGAGCGAGGACGGTGGGATCCGCGGGGTCGGTCAACGAGTCGAGCCGGACCGAAGCCGTCTTGGACCAGCCGAAGCCGAAGCCGAAGCGGGCAAAGGCATCAGGCAGGCAAACGAGGTGAGGCGGGGTCGGGTTGGACCCTGCCCTCACTCTGATCTGCCCGCTTTCCGCTGCCCTTTTCCGCACGCTTTTCCGCTGCCCACTCAAGACTTCTTTCAGTCGTTTCACGCGCTCGCCTTCATTCTGTCAACGCCACCGGCCGAGCTGCCCGGCCTTCCCTCGTCGATCCTGCACCACGGCGAGCGGGACTCTAAAACGGTGGGCATACGACGTTCGATGCAGTCGGAACGGTCGGTCTCTATGTAATCGTCGCCACTGGCAGGGGACGCAACGAGGCTCGCGACGACGTGGGACGGCACGACGGGTGCCCCGCGCCTGTCGGAGGGACAAAGGGACAAGATGGTCGGCCGATCCTTTGCTGCTCTCGCCGAGGAGCAATCAGAGCGCGAACAAGTGCTCGGTCGTCCCTGCCCGCCCCTCTGCCTCACTCCTTGGACCAAGGAGCAAATCCCAGGCGGCCGATGACTGACGACGACGGCGCGTGGAACTTGACGGTGCCCACGTACGTCGGCAGCTTGCCCGGGCCCGGCGAGACGGGGCTCGCGACGGCGTTGAACGAGAGTACGCCGGGCGCCGGCGGGCTGCGGCGGTCCTGGGAAAAGCTGATGCGCCGCTCGCCCACCACCATGTCGGCCAGGATGCCATCCGGCAGCCGCGGCACGTCGTGCTGCCAGAACAGCTTGCGCAGGTAGCGCGACAGGCCCTCGTCGACGTGGCCCTGCGGCATCCACGGCGCATGCACCGTAATCAGCCGGTCCGGTACGACCGTCCCCGCCGGCACCTCGCGCCTCGTCCGCGCCAGGAGCTCGTCGCGGATCGGGCCGGCCAGGGCCGAGCTGCCGTAGAAGAGGCCGTCCTTGTTGTCGGCGTCCGACGACGCCGCCACCCTCGCCTTCCACGCCATCGCACGCAGGTGGTCGTCGTGGTTGATGTGGTTGAACAGGCTCAGCAGCGACGCGTCGAACCGGACGACGCCCAGGTACAGGTCGCCCTCGTCGGCCCGCGCCGCCGTGGGCACGGCAAACACGTTGAACCGCACGAAGTCCGTCTTCTGCGAGCCCTTGCGGTCGTAGGAGAACGTCACCCGGTAGCCGGGCAGCGCAATGTCGCCCATCGGCGCCGGCAGAGGCTGCCGCTGCCTGGCTTCGATGTTGTACAGCAGGTTCGAGACCCGGATCTGGGTCTTGCGGTCGCCCGCCAACGGCTGCTCAATGGCGATCAGCCAGTCGTCGAAGGCCGCGCCACGAGGCATCAGCTGCCTCACCCTCGCGCGCAGCGTGTCGACCACCTGGGCCGGCAGGGCCTCGCCGGGGCGGATGGCAGCGCCCACGCGCCTGGCGGCGTCGACGCCGGGTCCTTCCGGCCGGCGGCGCCCGCTGCTCGAGCCGGCCCGAAAAGGCTCGGCCTCGGCCATGGCAACGCTAGTCCCGCCGTGCTGCCGCAAGGACGAGGCAGGCGGGCCGACCGGAGCAGGCGCACGGACGAAGCCGTCGGCCATATCTCGGAGGCGGACGAAGTCTGCGCCCCTGACGCCCCTCGGGATGTCGGTGAGCGTGAGGACGCCGACGTACGTCTTGGACAGGTCACCTCCCGGCGAAAGCGGAACGGCGACGGTGTCGTAGAGGCGTGGGCCCGGCTGCGAAGGGGTCGTCTTCCTCCTGATAAACTTGACCCGGAAGCCGTCGACGTCGAGGTCGTTCAGCAGCCCGGGCCGGTAGGTCTTGCGCCGCTTGGCCGTCTCGAAGACCTGGCTCGAGCGCCTCTGGAGCTCTTGGCTCGGTGTCTCGCCAAAGACGACGGGCAGGTTGATCGAGATCATGGCATCGTCGAAGTTGGGCATCATGGCACGCACCTTCGCCCGCAGCCTCTCTTCGACTCGCCGGGCGAGGGCGGGGTCGTAGTAGTTGGTGCTGCGCCGGTTGTTGAGGGGCTCGCCTGCGGGCGCGATGAGCCGCGGCCTCTTGAGCGCCACGTCTGGCGACGACTCTGCACGCATCCATTCGCGTTCGGCCGAGCTCGAGCCAGAGCCGTCTACCTCGCGGCTTGGCTGCGTAGCTGATGACGACGGGTCAGCGGGATGCTCGGGCACCGACACGCCCCCGGGATGGCCCGGATAGGCCGAAGCGGGCACGACGGTCGACGACGCGGCGCCTGGCTGGGCCGTCTGAGGGAAGAGAGCGGCGGGCGCGTGGGCGGGCGCGCCACCGTAGCTGCCGTAGTAGTAAGCGGGCCGACCGGGAGGCTGCGGCAGGACCAGACCAGGGGCGTGGCCATGGTAGACAAAGTAGGCCGGGTCGATGTGCGGAGGCGGCGGAGCGTGGACGGGCACGTAGGCGATGAAGCCAGGCCAGGCGGCGGCGACGTGGGGCGGCAGCACCTGCCGCAAAGGATGCGGGGCGTGGATCGCAGCCATGCCTGGGCCAGCGGTAGTGTCTGGGGGTGGGTCTGCAGAACGGAGGTCTGGAAGGTGCGATGCGAGGCTGCGTTCGGGATCGCGGATCGCCTCGGGGTTCAAGGGCAGGTCGACTGCTGCGACCGTGTCGAAGACGACGAAGGACGACGCCGTCGTCAGCAGGCCGACGGCCTGGAGCAGGCGAAGGGGCTTCATCGCGGAGTGGCGGTGTCGCTTGGCCGGGAGAAGGACGATGGAGGAACGGAGGTTATGCCAGGCCGAGGAGAGGGATCGCCTGCCCTCTTTATGGCTGTCCGTCCCGCCACAAGGCGACAGCGTCGAGGCAGGTTACGGCAGCCAGCCCGGGCATAGTTCGAGCGGCCCTTGTTACCTCCATCGTCTAGGTCTGACCACGCCCCGACTACGCCCCGGCGTCGTCGGGGGCTTCCGTTCGGGCCGCGTTCCGCCATCGGTTTAGGCAGGCGGTGTCTCCGATGGTCACAGGCGGGAGAAGCAAGGACAAGCGGGCGGGGCAACGAGTTCGGGTGCTGCCGCGCAGGGCCCTATCGATGGCCGACAGCGCAAAGGCGACGACGACGACGACGACGACGACGACGACGACGACGACGACGACGACGACAACAACAACGATGCCACGATCTCGGCGTTTTCTTACGCGACTCGGCGAGGCACTACTGCCGCACCGCTGCTGCTGCTGCTGCTACCGCCGTCCGTTGTCGCACCATGCCTGCTGACGCTCATCCTCACGCCATCGACGACGACGTAGGTGCGAGCCTTTGCAGGGTCGGGCAGCTTGTCCAGGCGGTTATCGATGGTGAGCGTGCCGACGAGGGCCTTTCGCCGTTCGACCCCGCGTCGAGGCACCGCGACGACCGTGTAAACCTTGAAGCCCGGCTCGGCCCGGCTGGCCGCCAGGTCGGTCACGAACCCGATCGTGTACCCGTCGATGACGAGGTCCTCGACCATGGGGGGCTTGATCTTGCCCTCGCGGAAGCGGGAGAGGGAGCGATGCGACCTGCTGAGGGTCGCCTGGTCCGGGAAGCCGAGCTTGTCGACCTGGGGCACGTCGAGCGTGATCATCCAGTCCTCGAGGACGAGCTCGTCTGGCTTGAATCGCCTCGCCCGCTCCCAGAGCGCATCGACGACCTTGTTGGCCAGTTCGGGGAAGCGGTAGAGGATGCGACCGTACCCGCCGACGTGATCGGTGGGCTTAGGGGGGGTGCGCCACCGTGTGCCCCCGGGTCGGTCTCGTTTCAGCGACATTGGGGCGCGCATGTCGGACGAGCCGATACCAGCGGCATCCTGGATGGCATGGAGCGGTTCGGACGAGGCGACGGACGTGGAAGACGACGGCGAGGGTTCGAGGAGGGGTATCGCAGGTGGTGCCAAGGCTGGAGGCGCAGGTGCTGGGCTCGTCGAGACGAGGGTGCTGCCTGTGCCGAGGCGCGGCAGGTCAATGAGGGGCTCGAGGTTGGCATAGAACGACTCGAGATTATGCAGAGCCTCTCCGGCATCGTTGGCCGGCAACTGAAGTGCCAGCGTCGGCGCGAGCAGGACGGCTGCGGCGGCGACGACGAGGACGAGGAGCAGCGGCGGCGGCAGCGATGTGGTTGTGGCAACGAGGCCGGGTCGTGTCATTGTGACGCTGCACAGAGGAGACGAGGGGATGGCAACAAGTCAAAGGCGGGGGCGAGCGATGCCGTGGTTCGCTGCGACTCGCAGCATGGCGTCGCCGTTGGATTCCACAGTGCCTGGTGTGATCAATCGAGGGCGTAATTCATCAAAGCTGGTGGACGGCTACGCCCCGGATGTGGCGCCGTGCGAGCCTGGTTGCAGGCCGTCTGTGCTGCGATCGAGGTGTGGCTGAGGTTCACAGCCCTGCGCCACAGCGACCGGTGCCGCTGGTGGGTCGAAGACAGCCTTGAGCCAACTAGGGTGTCGGTGCCCATATCGAGAGAAGCGGCGGCTAGGGAAGACTAGTGGTCCGCGATGGGCGATGGCGGCCGTCGGCGGGGCGAGGGGGCAGGGAAGAGTGGCGCCCCCTTTGGTCCATATCGAGACTGAGGACGCGTTCGACACTTTGCACCGTGTTGAGGCAGGTAGCGAGCGAGGGGCTCGTGGTCAATACGTAGCATCGCTCTGCAGTCCGGCCTACATGTTGCCTAGCCACTGTCTGCCGATCAGAGCGCGGGGAGGAGCCGGGCCTCGCCGATGAAGGACGAGCATGCTCGGAGCCGCGCCGAGAGTACGGGTGATAGTCTGTCGAGGGCCGGATGATCTTGTTCGCGGCCGACGGCGAGCCCCCCGGATAGCTTGTGCCGTAGCGTGCATCGGCGAATGGAAGCAACGTGGGCGCTGGCACCAACAGCCTGACCTTGCTGAGCCGCAGACGAGCGAGGGAGCAGCTACCGTAACGGTGCTGGAAGAAGCTAAAGACAAGCGCGTCACCGGACAGGCCACAGCGGGGGAGGGCAGACAAAGACGGGCGCGAGCGAGCGAGAGGGACGGCTCGAGGTGCAAAAGTGGCCTGACTTTGCAGTGCTGGATGGATGGATGGATGGAGGCTTCCAACGGCGACTCGGGCCGAGCTCAGGCTCCGGGGCCTCCGTACGTGTTGATCGTCAAGGTACGCGGGCTTACGCTTGCCGAACACCCTCGGGCCTGTCCCTGTCTGCCTGGCCCGTCCTGGCTTTCGGGCTGTGCAAGATCGTCGAGCTGCAGGCATCCTAATCGCTGGCCGTCTCCGGCTCCGGCTTGCACTTGGCTGGGGCCTACTGCTCCGGCCACTCCCCGAAGCTCTGCCGCTCCACCCTGCCTTTGGCCTGCCTTGCTTTGCCTTTGCGCGCATCCTCCTCGTCGTGAAGCCCCGTGCTGCCGCTACACCCCTCTTGGCTACCTTGTCCATCTTGACCCACCCACCGCACAAGCGAGTCGCCGGCGAGGCATGGGAAAAAGCCTTGGCTACCGCGCCTACGTCGCTTGGCTGCCTTGCCCCCCTCTGCAGGATACGCTATGTACATGTACCTACCGTCACAGCCAACTCCACGGACAAGATCACAGTCGACCGATGAATCAAAAGGCAGGTCGAAAGAAGGCGCCATCGTGGTGCGAGCTAGACGCGTACGCCGCGCCTGGCCGTGCCACGCTACGCCAAGCTGCGCCGCCAAACACGCCATGTCGGTCGGTATCCGGTATGTTTGGGAGGCAGTAGAAGCAGGCTCGGTGGCATGAGCAGACTACCGTAGAACGACAAAGGGGGGGGGGGGGGGACGACCCTCTATGCGCACGCAAAGAAGGGCATGCGCAAATGCACCGACGGAATGGACGGATGGATGGATGGATCCATGGAGCTTTGAGCGACAGAACGTAACCCTTTAGTGTGCGGGAACCGCTAGCTAGCTTGCTAACGCTGCAGGACGTCGCGCCGGGATTTGGATGCCACGATCTGCGCGCGCACGTACCTATCAGATGGGGAGGGGGGGATGGCAGGCTCAGCTGACGGGCCAGCATGACCGCCTGAGCCCTTCATCCCCGCACAGCCCCGGGCGGTGAATGTGGTGGTCCAGCCAGGAGAGCGCTCGAGGATTAGAGCTCCGTCTCGCTTCCACGGCTTCGTCGCCCTCCTTGGTCGCTATTTTCTCGGCTCTAGGCTTCCCGCTCGCCCCCGTCGTCCGGCCCTTACGCCGCCGCTTTCGACGGACGCGGTCTGGCCAGGCCAGGCAAGACGTAGCCCGACTCGTGGGCCTCGCCCTGGTTTCGCCTCATCTCAGCTCGTCTCGTCTCGTCTCGTCTCGATGGACATGGTCTTGGCCATTCGACTCCCGACGTACGTCGCTTTGTCTCTCGAGCCCAAGCGCGCACAGCTGTGGCGAAACGAGCTGACATGGCCTGCCTCGCCGCTTGGCCGCGACCCTAGCGCGTCGGCTGGTTTCCACGACCACGACCGGGCAGAGGGGAGAGAAGGGTGCGGTCCTCGACCCAAACGTTTCTGATGCGTCCTTCGATGCTCACCTACAGAGGGACAAGGTTGACGGCGGTCCAGGCCGCGCCAGGCCGTCGCGGGCCCACGATGGCAAGGGCCTGGCCTGGCCAAGCAGGGAGGGGCAAAGGGCAAGCGAGGTGGATCAAGCAGGGCCAGCGGGCGGTTTGGTCCAAAGCTGCAGCATTGGGCCAACAAGGGGGGGTTGGGGTGCTTCCCTCGCTGCCCTCCCCTTACCTCGTGCCGGCCGGGCTGCCGAAGGAGCGACCCTGACCTGGCCTGGCCTGGCCTGTGGATACAGTTACAGTACTCGACCTCGTGTGCGCCGGTACGTGGCAAGGCAAGGGAAGCGGGCACCTGGGCGATCGTCACATCCACATCAGGGAGAGGGGGAGGCATCAAGCGCCGGGGTCAAGCAAAGCAAAGCGAAACAAGGCAAGGCAGGGGAGCCTTTCTTGTTCCTGTCGTCTTTCCATGACCTTCGACGCTCCGCTCTGCGCCGCTCATCGCCGACCGACCGACTGGACGAGATGGCACCGAGGGATGGACGGATGGATGGATGCCAAAAACAGAAGCGTCCGGCCGGCAACGCCGACGAGAAATGGTCCGACGCCGGTCTACCTTCGTCGTGCTGCAGCATGCATCGAGGAAGGCCAAGGCCAAGGGCAAGAGGGCGGGATCCAATCCAAACGCCGAAAACCTAGCTTGTGCAGCCAGGAGGAGGAGGACAGGTCAGGCCAGGCCAGGAACAGCCAGCCAGCGTGCGCTAGGTCGGCAGGCAGGCGGGGTCGCGCGCGCGCATCTCCGCCCACAAAGGCTGCGGGCGGCCCATCGGTTGGCCGCCTGGTCTTTCTTTGAGCGGAATGAGATGCCGATGTATGTCCCCTAGTTACACTCCTTCTCGACCTCGAGCCGAAGGTTGGAGAACAATGACAAGCGCAGAGGGGCAGCATGAGAGCAGGCTCGACAAAGGGCGATGTTAGTGTGTGTAGATCAGCGGATGGGTTGAACGAGCGCCTCTCTCTTTCAAGCGCCGCTTTCTTTGTCCGCGTACAAAAGTCTTGATGTCAGTCCGGAGTAGTGCTTTGCGACCTCGAGGAGCCGGCAGAGAGCATGCATGCTGTACGTAGGGTGGTGCATCCGTGCGTGCTGGCCACCCCCCTCTGCTGCTCCATCTGTCGATCCCTCGTCCGCATCGAGAGGGATGGACGGCTCGCGTTATGGCCTTGGGCCTTGGGCTTACCGGTCCCCCCCTTTGACTTCCCGAACGAGGAGCGCCTGGATCCGAACCCGGCACCACCATACGAGGCTCCTCCACCCGCCTGCGCCGGGTCAAAGGGTTGGCTCATCCATCCGCAAAACAAAGCAAAGCTCCCATCGGCGAAAGACCGAGCGAAGAGAGAGAAGGCGAGAGAACGACGAAGGCGAGCAGGAAGTGGTGTGATGGCGCGACGACGACGAATGGATGGTCTCTCCCCGCTCGCCATTGTTGTCCATCTCGCCTAAGCGCGTCGGCGAGTGAGTGTGGCCTGGCCCCCCGCACGTACATGCTGCGAGCGGCGAGCGGCAAGCGGCGGTGCACGGTCTCGACGGCATTTGCTTTGTCCCCCCCCCCCCCCCCCGCCTCGAGGTCCGCCATCCTTAGGCTGTATGTCGGTCAGCGGCAGCACGACATGCATGGATGCCAGATCTCCTGATCTCCCCCCGCTCCTCCGCACCATGCAGGTGGAGGGAAACCCACCAGCCAAAGCCCAGCCAGAGCCAAGGCAAAGCCAAGCCTTGTCCCCTCTTGGCTCTGGGGACCGGCTACGTTGTGTCAGCTGAACGTTACGGCCCGCCGACGATCCCTTCTGCCGAGTTGTGCATCCTCTCCCTTGCCCTGCTCTGCTCTGCTCTGCTGAGATGCCGTAGAGGTCAAAGTGGTGCCACATCGTCAAAACATCAACATCCCCCCGCGACCGAACCTACGTGCTGTAGAGCGCCGCACTCCGGCAAAGCGGACCGTGCTGCGGAGATCGTATCCCATCTTGGCCCAGTTGGGCGACCCCGTCCGTCTGCCCTCGAGGCGGGCGAGGAACCCAGGGACCAGCCGTCCGTCTCCTTGCTTGCTTGATCGCGGCTCGTGGCCCGTGGCTCGTGGCTCGTCCCTGCCCTCGACGGCTGGACGGCCCGAGGCGTCATCAGCCCCCCCTCCGTCCGGATGCAAGAGATATAAGAGTAGCCTCGACGGCCTCTCCGTTGTTGCAACCGCATCCATCACATCTTCTCCTGATACCCACACCCCTACAACCCTCTCCTCCTACCCCACACTACCCCAAACCACTCACAATGCTTACCAAGGTCGCTCTCCTCAGCGCTGCCGCCGCTGCCGCCGTCGTCTCCGGTGCTCCTCTGGAGCGCCGTGCCGCTCCCGGCCAGGCCGACATCGACCTCGTCATCCTCAACTACGCTCTTACTCTTGAGCACCTCGAGAACGTGAGTCGCCGTCCAGACCATCCCGTCGCCGCCCTTCCAGCTTGAGTATCGCGCGCTGACCCTGTTGCGACGCGTCGCCAAATATTGTCCCCCGTAGGCCTTCTACCGCGACACCCTCGCCACCTACGACGCCGCTGCCTTCAAGGCCGCCGGTTACCCCAAGTGGGTCCGCGAGCGTTTCGTCGAGATCGGCGGCCACGAGAAGGCCCACGTCGACTTCCTGTCGAAGGCCCTCGGCGACAAGGCCACCCAGGAGTGCACCTACGAGTTTGGCATCACCGACGTCAAGACCTTCGTTGCCACTTCCGCTCTTCTTGAGGGCATCGGCAACAGCGCCTACCTCGGCGCCGCTGCTAACATCACGTCGCCTGAGTACCTAACTGCCGCTGGTGAGCATTGGACGAAAGAGCTGGTTCGATTGGTGTTGGAAGAGTGAGGAAAGGATGGAAACTGACCGAGATGATGGTGTTGGTCTTCGCGTTCGATATTTTTTTCTCCCCCACCCCGCCTTTGTTCTCGCTGCACGTCTTCTTTCGCACGCGCCTCGATCTGGCATTTCTGCATTGTTCCTTCACCCGTCCCTTCACCCGTGCAGGCTCGATTCTGACTGTCGAGGCGCGCCACTCGTCGTGGGTCAACTCGGCGGTGCAGAAGGGCGACGGATTCGGCAAGCCGTTCGACACGCCGCTCAACTTCAACCAGACCTACTCGCTCGCCGCGCCGCTCATCAAGAGCTGCCCGGACAGCAACCCGGCTCTGCCCGTCGTCGCCTTCCCCGCCGCCAAGGTCGAGGGCAAGGCGTGCCCCGGCAAGACGGTCACCATCTCGGGCGAGGGCGTCCAGGCCGGCCAGTACGTCGCCGTCCTCTCGGGCCTCTCGACCTCGTTCGTCCAGATCCAGGACGGCGGAAAGATCACCCTCCCCGAGGACCTCGGATACGGCCGCGCCTACCTCGTCGTCACCAAGAGCGAGAGCGTCTCGGACGACGAGGTCGTCGCTGGCCCCGCTGTCCTCGACGTCGAGCTCTCGGCCCAGAAGGCCGCCAAGATCTACGCTCAGTAGACGGGCGCTCCTGCCAACCTCTCACCCCCCCTCCCTCCCTCGTCGCCGCTGCGCACATCCTCCCCTCCCCCTCCACCCTGTCTTTAGCTCGGGTCCACTTTGGACTCTCGCAGCCTTCTCTCTCTCTGTCACTCTCTCCCTCTCTCCCCTTAGTCTTGTCGACTCCCCTCCTCTCGTCTAATACCACTTCGCTCCTTTTTTCCTCTCTGGCCTGCTTGTACCGCACCGCATGCCCGCACTGGTGACGTTGTTGCATCGCACCGCACCGCATCGAATGGACAGTTCTAGTGACGAAAGCCTCAGCCTGTGCAGAAGTCCGCCGCACTCTGAGCCGGATCAGCGTCAGATCGCTTCCTTCCTGCTGACACTCAGCCAGCGTCACATGGGACTGGCCGTCCTCATCCACTAGCGGTCAGGACCTCCGGGGATGTTGCCACCCTCGCGCCTCGACCTTTTTCTCTGCAATTTTTCATTTCATTTCGACTGCACCTCTGCCTTTCCTTGCAACGATTCCGGCTCTATTTTCACGCGTCCCTTGCCGCTCCGCCAAGCGGGGTCTCTAGATCTGGTAGTTTGCCGAGTCGACAATGGTAAAGGCGCTGTAGGTGGCGAGCATGAGCAGGCCTGCAGGGGCGGTCGAAGAGGGGAGGATGGGTGAGGGAGACGAAGAGTCAGCCAAGTGGCCGATGCAAGGGCAGAGCCACGGCGCAAACGAGGAGGAGGGACGCGCGGGACGCACCGATGAAGCTGAGGCCGCCAATGATGGCGCCGGTGACGCGGTTGCGGGGCACGCCCGAGTTGTATCCGACCATGTAGAGGACGCGGGAGACGACCCAGGTGGACGCGAGTCCCGTCGAGAGGCGCGGGTAAAATAGGCCGGTGAAGAGGACGAGGAACATGTAGCTGGGCAGGTTCTCGAGCGTGTTTTGGTGGACGCGCTGTGCGCAGCTGTGCGGCAGGAGGGGTGAGGAGGGGGGGCGAAGGGGATGTTAGAGGGGACAGAGGCAGGCTGGGACGATGGGAGCGGCGGCGCCACACGACCCGACCGGACGCGACTCACTTGAAGAGGTGTGCCTCTCTGCTCTTTTCGGCCTCTTGCTTTTCGGCGTACATCTGCGGGTAGGGGATTCCTGCGGCCTTGCGTGCGGAGCCGACCTTTGCGCCCATGATGAATACGAGCCAGAGGGCGGATACGACTGAGGCGACGCAGTAGCCGTAGCCGACGGGGAGGAGGAGCCCCTGTGCAGCCTCGGTCTTTGGAGCGTAGAAGTGGTAGAAGGCGGGCAGGGCGGCGGTGAGGGCCGGGTAGACGACGTTGCGCGACATGGCGGAGGGTAGTGTGCGGTGGTGAGGGCTAGGGTGATGGGGTGATGGGGTGATAGGATGGTGGTAGGGCGATGATAGTGGCAATGAAATGGGATGGAATGGGACGAGAGAGGGAGAGGGGAGAGGGGGAAGAAGGTGAAGACGAGGTCGATGGACGGGGTTAAAGCAAAGGGCGATGCCAGTCGAGGCGATCCAAGCCGGGCCGCGTCAGGCAAAGCAGGCTGACGTCGGCGTTGACCAAGGAAGGCGGGGCGCGGGTGCCCACATGGCAGCCACCACCAACGGGGGCCCTCTTTGTCGTCGCCGACTTCCGAGAGAGACGCAGCATGGCCCGTGCACGCCGGCAGCAGTGACAACCGGAGCCAAGCCAGCAGCAGCAGCAGCAGCAGCAGTGCCCCAGACACGCGGACACCGAGACCCTTTTGGGCCTTTGCCGCCTCGACGCCCCGCTGTACCACCACCGCCACCCTCGCGTCGTATCAAGTGTCGACGGTGGCACAACTACTCTGACCAGCCCAGCACGCACGCTCGACGGCGTCGCTCCTCATCTGACCGCCTTGCCTTGGCCCATCGTCTGTGTCTCGTACCGAGTCTCGCCCCGCCTCGCAGTCGTGTGCAGCGCAGCCTAGACCGACTTCCTTCTTTGGTCGTGGCACAAGCCACCCGTCCCATGCCCCGATAGGCCTTTGCACCCACGCGCAGCGCAGCGCACCGCAGCGCAGCGCAGGCCGTCCATACAGCCACGGCCTCCCTTTGAGGCAAAGAGCAGACTTGGCAACTGCTACTGCCTGCCTATCCGTTGATCCTTGCCCGGCCCCTATCGCTCCACTCGTCGTCGCGCCCAGTAGGCAACTGTCTTCTTTCACGCGACGATAACGCCCGCCTCCCTGCTGCACTCAGACTACCACCACCACCACCCTCACCACCTCACCGCCAACGACCAACAACAAACTTTGCTGCACGCCCCTGACGACGATTTGCCTCTCGCACCCCGCTCCCCTCGGAACCATCGACGATCCTACATAGACCTCCCCGTCTCTCTCTATTCACGGCCCAGCCTCCCTCTCCCTCTCCCCTCCCCATCCATGGCCACCACCCTCGTCCCGCCGCCGCTCACTCTCCTCACCATGGACAGCCGGTAGAGCATCGTCGCGCCCTCATCCATAGACTTACTCGCTGGCCTCCTCCTAGACGTCAGACCTTTCCACGACCCTACCGACCGACCGACAGGCTCCCCGACTCCCCCCGCCTCGCCATGCCAGCACCCGCCACCATGGCCCACACCGGCGTCCGCTTCCACCGCTCCCATTCGGTCCCCACCTCGGCCTTGCCCTCCTCGCCGACGACGACGACCGCCTTCAAGCTGCGCCTCCGCCGCCTTTTTGTCCTCGTCAGCACCCTCCTCGAGGCCACCCTCTCCGCCCTCCTCTCCATCTACACCCTCTTCTGGCCAGATGAACCGCTGACAACGGCAAACGATCGCGCCTCGCCGCCGCCTTGGGACACGTCCAAAGGCGAGGCCCTCGTCATCTGGGCAGCCACCCACGACCACCTCGCCCGCCTCTTGGCCATCCGCCTCGCCGCCGCCACCCCGTCGTCGTACGCCTTTACCGAGAGCGGCGCATCGATGGCCTCGGCAAAACCACCCTACACCTGCATCGTCCTCCTCTCCGACCCGGCCCAGCTCCCCATCCTCGTCGCAGAGTGGGCCGCCAAAAAGGCCCAGGTCGAGGCCCAGTGGAACAAGAGCCACCCGCCTCGCTGGTCCGCACAACCCAGCCCGCCCTACAGCCCGCACGCCGACCGAACGGGTAGAGCCGGGCCCACCACCCATCTTCCGCGCGACCGCAGACGCACCAGCACCAGCAACAGCAACAGCAACAGCGCTGCCGCCGGCAATGCCTCGGCGTCGGCTTCGAAATCGCCCTCGCCCGAGCCACGCTCTTCCACATCGCCCTCTTCGTCGCCGCCGCCGTCGCGTCGTCAGCAGCAGCAGCAGCAGCAGCAGCAGCAGCAGCAGCAGAGACCACGCCGCCGCTCTCGCTCGCTGCTCGGCCAGCGCCCTTGGCGCGACTGGATTCCCTCCAACGTCGTCGGGTTCGCCCTCGACGCCCTCAAAGGATGGAGGATCGGCCAGGCGGACAAGCTCAACATCGGCTCAGTCATCCCCATTGTCGCCGACCCCTCGTCGCCAGAGAGCCTCCCCTACGCGAAGAGCACCATCAACGCCTACTGCCAGCTCCACAACCTCGTCCTCCGCGGCGTCATTGTCGTCCCCTCGGTGCTGGGTCCGCGCTACGTTGTCGGTGGTCCGAGTTTCGGCTCCAACTCTGGCTTCGGATCGAGGGCGTCGTCGGCGTCGTCGATGGCCTCGTTTAAGGATGAGTCGTCGCCGTCGCCGTCGTCGTCGTCGTCTGAGGATGCCGAGGCGGTGACAGCGTCGTCGAGGCCTCCTGCCCAGGCGCATGTTCACATCGACCGTGACCTGTTTGGCAATGTGGCAGAGCGCCAGTCGGATCGCGAGGGAGGTCCCCGGCGCCGTGGTCGAGCGAGCGGCGGCGTTGGCGGTCCAGCTGACGTTGAGAGTACAACTTCTGCGCCGCACCTGCCGCCAATCGAGACGTCGTTCGAGACGTCGATGCCGCTGCCACCGCCGCCGCCGCGCCAGCAGCAGCAACATCGACGAGCGTCGGCCGGTCGGCCCTCTGGCTCGGCCTGGGAAGGCGACGATGTAGTCGCCTCGCCGCCAATGTCTCCGGCCACGCAGCGGGCGAGCCGGCGCCAGGACGAGGAGCTCAATACGCTGCGCGCCGCCATCAAGACTGACCTGGGCGACTCGGCCGCGCTGGTCAATGCCCTCTTCCCGGCCTTGAAGCAGGGCCAGGGCCGCGTGCTGGCCCTGGTCCCCTCGGGCTTCGGCGTCGACCTGCCAGACGACCTCGACTTTCTCGAACGCTTCGGCCAGCGGCGCGACGTCGTCCTCGCACACTGCCGCCATCCGGCCGCGTCTGCGTCTGCGTCTGCGTCGGTTCCATCGTCGTCGACGACAACGGCGGCGGCCATCGATGATGCGAGGGCGGTGTCGCAGCGGCGGCGCCAGGACCGCAAGCGCAAGCACGCGCTGCCGTGGCCGCCGTCGACGCGCACGACGGTGCGCGAGGCGCTCGAGACGATGTGGACGTCGCTCACGCCCGAGTACGCCCACAGCGGCGTGGCCATCACGCTCATCCAGACGCCGCCGCTGCTCGCCACACCCATGCCGCCGTGTCCGCGCGCCGTTAGCCGCGGTGATGAGCAAGACGAGCAGCAGCAACAGCAGCGGTCGGCGTCGTCGAGTGCGGGCCAGGATCGGCGTCGCGGTGGCCAGCAACAGCAGCAGCAGCAGGAGGCGTACTATGCCTCGCGCCGTCTTCGTCCTCGTCCTCGACCGACTCGGTTCGGTCTGACGTGGTGGCTCTACATGCTCTCGCAGCGGGGCCGCATGAAGCTCTACGACCAACCGCCGTATCGAGGCTGGTTTGACGTCGGCGGCGGCGCCGGCGAGGCGGCATCTTCATCGGCTGCCGCTGCCGCTGCCGCCGCCGCCACCGCAGTAGCAGGCGGGGATCCGTACGTCGTGGTAGACGAGACGGAGCTGGCGTCGCGGGACAAGGGGCGACGAGTCCGCCTACTTCGCCGCGCGGTGCGGATGGGGATGGAGGTGAAGCGACTCATGTCGCCATTCGACACGATCGACCTCGGTCCCGCTCCGCCCGAGCCCGATGCGTCTTGGTCAAGTACGGATCTAAGTGCCGAAGAGACGTTTCTGCTACGCCACGTCGATCCGGCATGGACGCATCTCGCCTCTTCCTCGCTGTCCACGTTGAGGGCTGAGAAACAGTTCGAATTCGAGGAGAACCACTGTCGATGGAGGGACGAGATGGAGGAGAGGGCGAGGAACGACGTGGCCTTGTTTGAAGTGGTCAGGAGGGCGTTGAGGGATCGTCCGAGACGGTGGTACCCCGTCGGTCTGGGCGCGCGTCTTGATGCCACACTGCGCATCGTCCCCGGTGCCGTTTGGGCAAAGAGGTGGATCAAGGAGCTCGTGGATTACTAGCTACATCGCTCGCACAACTCGGTACAGGCGTCGTGTCGTTTCTTCTTGTCCTCGCTCTTCCCCCCCCCCATCCCCCCTTCCCTTCTCTCGCCCTTCATCTTCCCACCGACCCCCCTACCTCGCTTTTCGCTTCATCCTCCCCCCCTCCCCCCCCCCTCGCCACTTTGCACAGCACCACCACCACCACCACCACCACCACCAGCAGCATTGTCAGCATCGTCTCTCACTCGGCCACCCACCGGCCCGTCCCTCCAGTTCTATAGCCCCCACGCACGCACGCACGCACGCACGCACGCACGCACGCGCATCGCTCCTCGTCCGCTTCCTCTTTCTCTCGCTACCCTACCTCGATTCCCCCTCCTCTCCCCGCATCGCATCGCATCGCATCGTATCGCATCGCACCACATCCCCGCCCCTCGCCGGTTGCATACCCGTACACACTCAGCCCAGCCCCAGCCCCAGCTCCCAGCCCCAGCTCAGCTGCAGCTCCGATCAGATCGAAAAAAAGAAACTGTTCGTTGATGATTCGCTTTCGGTCTCGGTTTCGGGTTCGGCGCGTGTAACGAAAAGAAAAACAGACCCCCAGAGTGAACAAACGAAGTGGATCAAAAGGGCGCGCGGGGAAATCAAGCTAAGATGGACAAGAAGTGCAAGTGGGACAGCTCGAGGTGCGCGGTTCGGGGCGCTGCGCTGCACGCGGCGCTCCGCACGACGCCGTCTAGTGGTCAATGATGGCCAGGTTGCCCGAGATGAGCTTGTTCTCGAGCACCGAGCCTTCTGGGATCTCGATGCGGTTGCCCTCGTTGGCGACAATGATGACGGTGCCGCGGAGGGTAATGTTGCGCCCAAAGACGACGTCGCCCTGGACGGTGAGGTGGTCGAGCTCAATCATCTCGGGGATGCTCTTGAAGCGCTTCTGGAAGTGGGCCACCTTCTTGAACGTGTCGCCGAGCTTGACGACGGGCGTCTGGCCAAACATGCGGCCCGGGTTCATGACGAGCTTGCCGTGCTCGAGGCTGTAGAGGTCCGACGTGATGAGCAGCAGGTCCGAGCAGCTCTTGACGGGCAGGAAGCGCGACCGCGGCACATTGACGCCCTTGGCGCCGCGGAAGTGCTTGATGGCGGCGCCGACGGCCGTCTCGAGCTGGATGACGGCCTCGCCCGAGTCGAGCTGCTTGTTGTTGACGATGATCTCGAGGTCCAGCTCCTCGTTCTCGAGCACGCGCTTGATGGCGCGCAGGTTGAGCCACAGGTTGTTGGTGTTGAAGATCTTGAACTTCTTGATCGACTTGAAGTCCTCGACGTGCTCCGACGGCACCTGGGCAATCTCGAGCAGCCGGATGGTGCCCTCGTAGTCGATGAGCGTGCCGCCCTTGACGTCGGCCTTGGTCTTGTCCGTCACCTCGGAAATAAACTCGGCCTGGGTGTCAATCATGTGCTGGTAGATGTCGAGGTCGACGACGGCGCCGAGGTTGTCGACGTTGGACACGAAGAGGTACTCCTTGCCCGCGTCAATCAGGCGGTCGAGCAGGCCCGAGTTGTTCATGGCGTCAAACAGGTCGCCGTGGCCCGGCGGGTACCACAGGTTCTTGTCGCCCGTCGCGTTCCGCGGGCACGGCAGCAGGCTCTCCTTGTTGACGCGCGGGTACCGGCTCTGGTTGAAAGTGAGGATCTCGACGTTGTGGTTCGCGTACTTCTGGATCACCCGGGCCGTATCGTCGTCGGTGTTGAACGAGTTCATGAGGATAAAGGGCACGTTGACGTTGTGGACGCTGTTGAGGTGCTCAATCTGGCGCACCGAGAGGTCGAGGAAGGTCATACCCTCGCGCACCTCGATGACCGACTTGGGGCCGACGCAGCCCATCGTCGTTCCGAGGCCGCCGTTGAGCTTGAGCACGGCGAGCTTGTTGAGGATGGCCGGGTCGCTGGCCTGGCGCAGCTCGGCGTAGGGCGTGATCTGCTTGGGCGACGGCGCCTGGATCTTGTTCCAGTCGCTGCGGTAGGCCGAAGTGGGGGCAGAGAGGAGCAGCGGGGGCAGCACCGAGGGCAATTGAGGTCAGGCCAGGTCGTCTCAGCTCGCCTCGTAACTCCTTCATCGCACTGCAGCCACGCATTCGGCTTTCGCCCCTACTCACAGCTTCTCGCCCTTGGCCTTCTCAGAGAGGTAGCGGTTGAAGAGGTTGAAAAAGCCCGACATCTCGGCCTCAAAGGCCTGTGAGGATCAACGGCGGTCGCAGCCAAACGGGCAGTCCGTTGGTCAGTCAAACGGCAATTCAGGGCGCTTGAGCCCGGCTGCCGCACCCGCGACGGGATGTTCCGGCGAGAGACTCCATCAGGAGCGCTGCGGGCGGTCCGGCCCGCTGCAGGCCGCAGACCATTCAACCTCGCGCCGCAGCAGCCTGCGCGTCGTCGGCGAACTCGCTCGCGGCGACTCACCTTGCGGACAGTGGGCTCCTCGATGCCCGAGACCATCGAGTTGAGCTCGTTCCTCATGGCCTTGGCGGCGACGCCAGTGGTGGCCGACTTGAAGTCCTACAGACGTGGAAAATGGGCGAGGCAGGCAGGAGCGTGAAGGAGACAGACAAGAGGTTGCCCGGGATCGAGGATCAGTCAGCCAAAGACTCGGCCGCATGATCCCGGCGCCAAAGGGGCTGTGTGGGCCACTGCAGTCGTCGACCGGCCTGGGAAGCACGGTCGTCGTGGCCGTCGTCGTCGCCCTCGGCTCGTCGCTCGGCGTCGTTACACGCTACCGGCTGAGCCAGCAGCGTGAGGCAGGGGCGGCGCCAACGTGGGGCACTCACAATGTGCGAGGCGCCGCGGGTGCGGGAGGCCTTGATCTGGGGGCCATTCTGGGGCGTGGAAAGGGTGGCCATCTTGTGCGGTGCGTGTGTTTGTTGCGGCGGGAGAAGGGAGGGAGGGAGGGAGGACAGGGGGTTGGTGGTGAGAAGGAGCGGAGCGGCGGCGAGGGGCAGGCGATGGTTTTTGAGGCCGCAAGAGGACGGGGGCGATGCGTTGCGCTGCGTTTGGGCCAAGGGCCTGGCCTGGCTTGGTGGGTTGGTTGGTTGGCTGGCCGGCCTGGTCGGCCTGGTCGGCGTCCACGGCGATGGTCGATGCTGGGCTCGTGCTGCTGGTGCTGCTGGTGCTGCTGGTGCTGCTGCTGGTGCTGATGCCCCTGCCTAGCCTGCCTGCCTTGCTTGCCTGCCTGCCTGCCTGTTTCTTCTGCATCCGTGGGGGCGTGGTCCGTGGGTCGGGCCCACCTGCCCTGCAGAGCGAGGTGGCGGCGCGGCAGGCCAACCAGGCCGGGCGGGAAGGCGGGCGAGACAGCCACACAGGCCGCTGGTTGAACCCTGGCCGCCGCCTGGCAGGCCGGCCTGCCTGGCCCACAGAAGCTCAAGAGTTTCGGGGAGAGGCGACATCGAATTTCCCGCCTCGCTCTCCTGCCCTCTCGCTCGCTCTCCTCTTGCGTGTGGCTCCCCGTGGCCCCGTCGCCTCGCTGCGCCTGGGGAGGAGGGGGCCGTGGTTTCCCCACCACCTTTTCATCAATCGCCGCCCTCGTCCTGCCTCTTGTCGATCTCGAACCGTACCTACCCGCGTGTGGCGGGTCGTTGGGCACCGGCGAGAGGCTAGGGCGAGCGGATCAGGCCTGCCAAACGACCAGGCGAGAGCACATGGCGAATCTTGATCCTTGACTTGCTTCTCGAGGACGACAGGCAAGCGGCGGGGCTCCTCGGTCTGCTCGCCCCCTGCCCGCCGTACGGTCCGGTCCTGCCTCTTTGTCGGCCAAAGCTGCGTAGGTGGTCGAGGCCCGACCAGGTGGCGGCGAAATCCGTCTGCCGTATCGTACCCTTAGCTTGCTCGCTCTCGAGCTTCCATCTTCGCCTCTCCTCGTCTCGCATCATTCCCTCTTCCCCAAACCAAACGCCCGTCGTCCAAGCGCAGCCTGTTTTGCCTCCTCTCTTAGCACAACGAACCCGAACCCCACGGCGTTTCGTTCCCATCGAACCTCATTCCTGGCTCATGCGGTACGGTACGATACGGTACGATCAGCTCTGTGCAGATATCCCGCCACGGGACGACTCACCCCTCTGGCGGTACTTCAGCGGTCGCGGTAGCGGGTACTGTACGGCATGGCATGGCACGGTGGCGGGACGTGCAGGCCTGGCATGCCAGGGCAGGGCAGGGCAGGCCCATCGACGGACAAACGTGCACCAGCCTAGCGCCGACACCTGGCCTGCAGCCAGAGAGACAGAGCCAGAACGGCGACGATCGTAGGCGCGGCGTGGTAACCCACCGGCGCCGACCTCCTGCCTCTGCTGGCCAGCGCTTGCTTCACGTACAGCCCGGCGAATTGTTTGCCTGCCCGCCTCCTGTCTCCCTGCCTGCCGGCGCACCACAGGCAAGCCGCCCCTGCAGCCTAGCCTGGCCTCGCTGGCGCTGCAGCAGCATGTCCCTGAAGTCGCCCGCGCCCCGCCGACCCGACCTCGCTCGCTCGCCTTCCTCCCCTCGCTTTGCTGCCATCGCGCCACCATCGCGTCGAATCGCATCGCATCGCACCGACCAAAGGCGGCGGGGCCCGAAACTCGTCCAGACGGGAATCGTTACGTCTGCGTCCCGATGACGGATGCTGTGACCTCTCAAGGCTCGCAAGGTATGATACAGTAAGAAGGGAGAAAGGTACGACGGAATCAATGGGATCAAGGCAGATGGGACATGCTGGAGCGGATGAATGCATGTCCTGGGCGGGCCTGGTCTGGCGCTCAGTCCGAATCAGACTGGCCCAGCTCGGCCCAGCTCTCGTCGTCGCTATCGGCGGCCAGCCTCGCCGTCGCACCCACGCCGGCCGGCGACGCCTCGAGCGGCAGCCACGTCTCGCCGTCGCTCAGCAGATCGCTCCGCCCCGCCACCGAGACAACGCCAGACGTGGCCGTCAGCGCGGGCGAGGCCGCACCAGAGGCGGCAGCAGCGGCGGCGTTGGTCAGCTCCCCCGACTGCTGCGCATCGAGGTAGAGCGAGAGGGATCGGTACTCGAGCCGCCCGTCGTCGGCGTCGACGCTGCTGCGTTCCATGCCCGACGGCGCGCTCTCGGCTGTGTCGCTGTCCTCGACGCCGATGAAGTCGTCGTCGCCGACGGTCGGCGAGGTTCCGGCGCGAGTGCCTTGGGACATCGCAGGGCTGATTGGTCTCGCTGACCCGTCGTCCTCGTCGTGGTCGAGGTCGATGAGCGAACGCGCGGGGCCATGAGAGGCCGCGCATGCCTCCGTGAAGCTATGGCTGCTCAAGATGTTGCTCCTCGAGGCGTTGCCCCAGGCGTCTTGGCCGGCCTCGGCGTCGGAGGTGGAGTCAGGCTGCTGAGACCGTCCGCCCAGGTCAAAGACAGCCTGCCACGACGACACGGCCATGTCGCCGACACCCTCGGGATCACCAAAGGGGTCTGCGACCAGGGGCGGACGCGGCGCTGCAGAGAGGATCGAGTAGGCAGTGCGGGGCGAGCTGGCAGAGAGCGGCGTCCTGTCACCGCTGCCGCTGCCGCGGATGCTGTTGCGGTCGTCGTCGTCGTCGGCCTCGTCGTCGCCGGCGGTGCGAGCGAGCGAGGCCGTGTCGGTCATGGTCGGCGAAGCGTCGCCGAGGGCGTGGTGCGGCAGCTCGGGCGAGGCAAGGAGGTCGGTGGCGGTGGCGGGGCCCGCAGACCGTGCCTCTTCGGAGCTGTTCGCAGTTGACACCAGGGCGCCGTTGGGGGCGTTGCGTCTTCGCAGTGCGGTCTGGTGCTGGTCGTCGACGCCGGTCGACTTGGCATAGCCCATCGAGGCAGCGAGATGGGCGCGATAGGCCGACGACTGCCTCTCGTGCATCTCAAACTCGCTGCGCAGCGTCTCGGAAGAGCTTGAGCGGCGACCTCGGCCAACGAGACCCCTAGTCATCTGCTCTTCTTCCGCGTGAGTAATCGCAGATCCATCGCGATACTGGCTACGATGTCCTCGCGGGCTGTGGCGGAACTCGTCGAGCTCGGCGTCGCTGAGGCGGTCCGAGTTGCCGCGGCGGGGCGACCTGCGTCCGCGGATGCCGTCGCGGATGTCGTCGCGGATCTCGTCGACGCCCTCCTGCAGCTCGCGACGCAGCTTTTCGAGCTCGACCTTGATGCCTTGGCGGATGCCGTGGGGCCAGTTGTCCTCCCTCCAGGGCCGGAAGACGCCAAACTCGAAGGCGACGGCGGCGCCTACGCCGGCCGAGGCGGCGGCGGCAATGACGAATGGGTTGACCATGGTTGGGTCGCGGGCGGGGCAAAAGAGCAAGACGAGCGCGGGTGCGGGTGCGATGCAATGACAGGCAAGTCTTGAGAATGGCGACCTCTTGATGCCCGAGAAGGAGAAGGAGACGGCGAAGAGCAGAGAGCAGTGTGGCGGTGGCGGAGCGTCAGGCTGGCTGGCTGGCTGGCTGGCTGGCTAGCGGAGCGGGGCTCAGGTCATAGCCGGTCTGCTGTAGCTCGCCGTCGCGGTGACGAGACGATGGCCGACACTCCTGATGCGAGCCACGTGCTGCGAGGACGTGAATGCGACGGTGACCAAGAGGGAACGACAAGATGCTGGCGAGGGGTTGGTGGTGGGGGGAGAGGGGAGGAGAGCCCCCACGAGACGCCACCGTATCCTCCTCGCTCGCCGCCCAAAACTGAGGCTGTGTGGGGTGGAGAACCCCACATCGGTCCAGGCACGGACCCTTGCTTGCTCGCCTCGCCTCGCTTGGCGTGGCCCGCCCCTGTCAGCGCACCATGGCCAGCGACTCCCTCGACCTCGACCGCCAGCAGCTGCTACGTCGAGAAATGCCTTCAATGCATGACCGGGCCTTGTAGAATCATCGCCGCGGCAAGGGCACACACGGCCATACCATGGCCACGAAATCCAGGCGCCGGCAACGGCCTTGGATTGAGCCCGACAGCCGGCCCGCTGCACCCTCGCCCCACCTGCCTGCATGCCTGCGCCAAGAACGTGGCAGCGAGGTACGTACATAATCTGATGCGAAAATTGCAACGATATCCTCGCGCTTGCTCCCTGCCACGAAGGGGGACGAGGCCGCAACGACAGGAAGACTCGCAGCAGGACCAGGCATCGACTTCAATGTGAGCCAGTCCCAGCGTCGAGGGTCGGGACAGCGGAGATAGACGCTGCAACGGACGACGTCGGTCCATCTCCGAGGCCATCGACGTTCGCTCGCAATGGACATACCTCGCTCGCTCCATCACACTGCCTGCCACAAACGATGCCCGGACGAATCAGACGACGAAGACGAGCAGACATCCGACCATGCTTGAATTCCCAGCGCACGCTGCACCAAAGCGCGCGCCGACCCCACTCAGGCAAGGTAGCGGTACATGCCACGCTCGCCCTCGACTCGCTCCATGTACTCCTGCGCAGGGCCAGGCAGATAGAGGCAGACCGACAAGGCCAGCCACCCACGTCAGCGACCAGCCAGGGCCCACTTTCGCGTCGGCACACCGCGCGCTCACCTTGTCAATCAGTATCTCAAACGTCTTTTTGATCTCGGACACGTCGATGGCGAATCTGGGGCGGGCGGGGTGAAGCGAGGCAGGCAGAGTGCGGGACAAAGGAACACGGGCGTCAGCAGCTGGCCCGCCGAGGCAGCAGATAGGACCGATGCCGCCGCCCCTCTGCGACGACAACGACGACTTACCGGCTCTTGATCTGGTCGACGACCTCGGTGATGAGCTCCGAGTGCTTGATCGTCTTGCGCGCCTTGAGGACGCGCACCGCGGCCGCCTGGAGGATGAGCTCGCGGTCGAGAAACACGCGCTGCTCGGTCGACTTTTGCTCCTCGGCCGTCTCCTTGAGCTGAATCTGGTTGATGCGGATGCGGTGGCGCTCGTTTTTAAAGCGCTCGTTGAACTCAAACTCGTCGTCGTCATCGACATCCTTGCCCTGCGGCACCTTGCGCAGCACCCGCGTCGGAATCTGACCGCACGCCAGGCTCTGCAGCGTCCGCTTGAGCTCCTTGTCCTCCAGACCCGTCTGGGCGCGGATGTCGCGGTAGGAGAGCTTGCTGCTGCTGCTGCTGCTGCCGCCGCCGCCCGCTTCGCCCGCCGCGCCGCCGTTGAAGAGCAGCAGCACAATCGCCTGGAAGGTGCTCACATTGAGCTCCTTGGTGCCCGCCTTGGGGAACGTGGCGACGAGCGACAGCGTGCCCAGCGAGTGCTGCCAGTGCAGCCGCCGGCCGCTGTTGCGGTTCTGGTAGAAGCGGACAAAGTGGTCGGTGGTAGCCGCCATCTGCGTGCCGGAGGCGGGGGATGAAAAACAGGGGGGATTGACGAAGAAAGATGAGGCGGCGGAGCAACAGTCGGGTTAGTAGCGGTGCGATGGGCGCCTCTCTCTCTCTCTCTCTCCTCTGCTCGACCTGCCCTCGGACTCGAACTCACATCGGCGGGCAGGATGACGTCGACCTGCGGGTACGTTGGCCAGTGGGCCTGGGTCAGCACGCTGACGCTCAGGTCGAAGGCGTCCGACTCGGCGCCGCCGCTCTCCTTTGCGGCCTTGGCGCGCGCCTGGGCGTACTCTTGCATCAGATCCCGCGACAGCTCGACGTCCTTGATCATGGTCTCGAGCTTGGCCGTGAAGCCGGGCCCGCACTCCTCCTTGAGCTTGAGGAGCATGCTCTTTTCGGCGTCCGACGAGGCCGAGCGGTTGAGGAGCAGGCGCTTGGCAAAGTGGCGCTTGTAGAACTCCTCAAACATGTCTTTGTCGTGCGTGTAGCGGAAGAGGACGAGCGCCTCGTCGAGGCAGCGCTCGAGCTCGTCGTCAGTCATGGTCTTGTTGCCGCTGCGCAGCTTGACGTCGAGGAACTTGGCGATGAGCTCGGCCGGCTTGTTCTCGCGCCGGTTGACAAACACCTCGAAGCTGTCGCGCTGGGCGTGGACAAAGGACGGCTCGCGCCCGAAGCCGTCGGCGACGATGCGGTCGATGGCCGCCTTGAACTCGAGCAGGCGCTCAATCATCTCGTCGTCGCGCTCGCGGTCGTTGACAATGAGGCCTCCGGCCGCCTTGATGTGGTCGGCAAAGGCGGTGCGGAGGCTGGGCAGCGCGTCGACGCTCCTGAGCAGCGCAAACAGGCGGCCGAGGTCATCGAGGCGGCGGGCCTCGATCAGCTCCGGCAGCCCGGCGATGAGCCGCTCGAGGTGCGCGGCGACCAGCGCCGAGAGGGCCACGTCGAGGTTGCGCTTGCGGCCGGCGTCGTCGGAGAGGAGCCAGGCGCCGCGCTCGGTCTCCTCGCGCACGCGCGTGTCGGCGTAGGCGAGGTAGCCGCCGACGGAGGCGGCCTGTTGGGCCATGCGGGCGGCCGACTCGTCGCGGTAGAAGCGCTCGGTGGCCTGGCAGACGGCCTTCTCGAGCTGTGGGTAGGCGCCGAGGCGGGTGTACATCTGGACGAGGGCGGCGTGGAGCTTGTGATACGGGGCGGTGCCCGCGCGATCGGCGTCGAGGCCGAGGGCGATGCACGCCAGCGCGCGGCGGGAGAGACTGTCGTTTTCGAGCACCTGGAGGGCGAATGTGTCGATGGCGAGGTCCCAGATGCGGGATGTCTGGCTCTGCGAGGAGGCATGGCCACGCGACGACGACGAGGTCGAGGCCGAGGCGGCCAGCTCGCGGTCGAGGGGGAGGAGGACGCTCTGAACCAGAGACACGCGGTCGAGCCAGCCGGTCCAGGCGTCGGAGAGGGTCGCGAGCCAGGAGAGTGCGCTGTCGGGCGTCTCGTCGGTGGTGCCCGATGCGGCGAGGTAGCGCGCGAGCTCGCCGGCGGCGCGCTCCATTTCGATCTTGATGCGGTCGTAGAGGTCGTCGATGCCAGCCGCGTTTGCTGTGAGCTGGAGCTCTGTGATGGCGTAGAGGGACTCGAGCGAGGGGAGGGCTGCGCGGTCTGCGGGGGTCGAGGAGAGGGCGAGGAGGTGTCGTACGGCGCGGACGAGCTCGATGGCCGAGCTCGAGGCATGGCGGTCGGGCAGGCGAGCGGTCGAGGCAGGATCGAGTGCGCGAGGAGTGGCGCGGAGGACGGTTCCCGAGGCGGCCTTTACATGGGTGGCATGGCGGAGGAAGGCGCCGAAGCCGAGGGCGGGGACGGCGGCGCCATGGCTCGACGTCGGCGGGGCGTCGATCGAATGAATGTTGGCTGTGCGAGATGGTGCCAGGGCGGCGGCGAGCGGTCCGGTGTCGCCGCGGTGCTGCTGCGAGTGAAGGCCAAACATGGCGGGGGGCGAGAGCGTTGGCGGTGGTGGCCAGAGAGGCTTGCGTCGCGAACGAGGTGAGGCGATGCGAGGCCGTCGGGGTGAAAGGTGGTGGTGGTGATGGTGGCGGCTTAACCGAAAGCGAACGAGGGCGGGGCGGTGGTAGGCTACGCTCGTGGTGGCTGGCCGCAGCTGGGCCGTGCGCAGGCTGGCCTGGCCTAGCCTAGCCGCCTGCTGGTTGGTTGAGCTGCTTTGACTCAGCGCCCTGCCTCCACCTGTGGCCACCGCTCTTTTTTTCCCCCCCCCTTGGGCGGGTGTGATCGAGGCCAGGCCAGCGAGCAGAGCTAGGGTCCAACCAGCCGGGCTCAGACCACGAAAATCGGGCTTCGCTGGGCCGGCAAGTCGTCTTTCTTCGCAAGACAGCCCAGGCCAGGCCGGCCACTGAGGGGAAAAATCGAGGCAACGCTGCGCCCGCTGCGCCCGCTGCGCCCGCCGCCTCCGCCCCGATTTCTTGATCCTAGCCTGAGCCTGAGCCGCCCGGCGCTGACGAGCCCACCAGCCGGCCGGCCGGCCCCCTCCTCGCCCCACCCACTCAAACTTGGCTGGCTGGCTGCGCCTGGCATCGCCTTTCGACCACCACCACCACCACCACCCGCGCCTTTCAACATCGCCCATTTGCACGCACGCCGTCGCCACTCGACGCAAACAAAGTGCACTCGGGCCTCTTCGCCAGCTAGTCGCCCCTCGACCATCGTCTGCTCATCCGACCTTTCCCCCACCGCCATATCCTGCCGCAGCGCGCTCGGTATCGCTACACTCGTTTGCGCACGTCCCGCCCGGCTCCGCCCCTGACTCTCTCAAGGCAGTGCTCGACCAAAGACCTGCAACCGCACTACCCTGCATCTCGACAGCGCAATCGCCTCGCTCGGTCCACACCTCGTTCTTCGCCCCGCCCTGCAACTCAGAGAGCCTCGGATTCCCACAGCCTCAACGGCGACCACGGCCCTTGCGCCAAAGCCTAAAACAGTCGGATCGGCTTCGGGCATCCCCTCTTTCTCCGCATCCTTTTTCGCTCTACCGCTCGCCGCACCACAGTCGACGTCCGCCACAAGCCGCTGCCCCCCTGCCAGCTGCTGTCGACTGCGTGCGGCCGCGCACTGACGGCCAGCGCCAAAAAGGCCCACACCCACGCAGACCAGCCCACCGACACGCCTGCCGCCCTCGCTCACCCCGTGCCGGCGCAATGAAGATCACAAAGACGCCCAGGCGCCTCGCACCCGCCGCGCCCGAGGTCACCACCCTCCTCGCCCGCATCTCGGCCGCCGCAGACGACGAGCTGCCCGCCATCCTCGACAGCATATCCGAGTGGTGCTGGCCCCGCGGCGACCTCTACTACTGGACACAGATCCTCAACCGCTTCGACGACATCCTCCAAGACACCTGCCGCGACTACGAGCTCGCCAAGCTCCAGACAAACGACTTCACCCCGCTCCGCAAAAAGCTCCTCGTCTCCATCCTCCGGTTCAGCCGCCTCCTCATCGAGAACTGCACCAACCGCAAGCTCTACAACTCGTACGAGGTGAGCAGCCGGTACTCGTGGCCCATCTAGCCGCGCCTAGCCGCGAGGACCGCCCCTTGCTGACATGCTTCCGCCACCCCCTTTTTTCGTGCGCCCCCCTGCCCGCGCAGCACCTCAACGACCTGCTGCTGGCACGCGACCTCGACGTGCTCGAGGAGACGCTGCGGCTGGTGCTGCGGCCGGCGCAGCAGCACAGCTCCCAGTCGTCGCGCCACGAGTTCCCCATCTCCAAGGAGCGCCTCACCACCCTCGCCCTCACCTGGACCCCGCGCGACCACGGCCTCAGCCTCGCCGACGTCGCCAACGCCTCCGTTCAGCCCCCCTCAGAGCTCTTCAACGTCCGCTTCCAATTCTTCAAGCGCAGCGGCCAAGCCGGTGCAGCCGTCGTCCCCACACACAACGACGACGGCGGCGAAAACAGCGGCGCCGGACCCAGCAGCAATGCCGCTTTCAACACGCCCACCCGTCCGCGAGCGAGGCCGCCGGCCGTGACCAGCCTGTCGGCTGCCGGCGGGCTCATGGCAACGCCCAGCCCGCACCGAGGTAGCGGCGGCGCCGCGGCGGACAACACCTTCCGCAACGACGCCTCGTCGTCGACGAACCATGCCGCTCCGCACCAGCGGCGCGAGGGGCTGACGTCGGTCGACCTGGGCAATGTGCTGCAGCAGGGCCGCGACGCCATCGACATCCTCACCGACGCCGTCGAGGCGCACGGCATCCCGCCCGAGGAGCGCTTCGAGGTGCTGCAGAAGATCCGGCTGGCCATGTCGATGGCCGACCCCGTGGCGCGGCGCCAGATCCTCGTGTGCCGGATGCTGGCGATCGCGTGCTACGCCCACGTCGTCAACGAGGCGACGGCCAACACGCAGCTGTTCCTCTACGAGCCGGACCTGGTGCCGCGGATCGCCACGCTCGTCGACCCGGCCCAGGGCTGCGAGATGGCGATCCAGGCGAGCGCCTTCTACGCCCTCGACAGCCTGGCGCGCTTCCGCGGCAAGGCGACCGAGGTCATGAACAGCGTCAACGCCTCGGTCAACCACGGCATCATCCTCAGCGTGCTGCGCAACCTCGTCGAGGATCTGGCCACCGACGCGCCGCAGTCGACGGGCCACTACGCCGACGCCCTCTTCAGCTTTGTCGCGCTCATCGCCTCGACCGGCGCCGGCAGCCACATGATTGTCAGCGCCGGCCTCGTCCCCATCCTCGTCGACCTGATCAAGGTGCGCAACCCCAACACCTACATGGTCCAGCGCACCGTCTCGCGCGCCCTCGGCCTGCTCGACAGCGTCGTCTACAGCGTGCCCCACGCCTTTGACCTGTTTGTCGCCGCGCGCGGCCTCGACGCGCTCGTCGACCGCATCGCCCAGGAGATTGAGCGCGACGTCGAAGACGCCTCCGAGCACCGCATGGACGACAGCGTGTTTGGCGAGCCGGGCCCGGACAACCTCTACGGCCGCCTCGCCTTTGGGCGCGCCTCGATGCTGCGCAACATGTTTAAGTCGATCTCGCAGATGATGACGTCGACCGGCACGGGCGAGGGCCTGCGCAACCTCATCGACGGCTCGCTGCCGGCCTCGCTCAAGAAAATCATCGACCACCGCACCATCTTTGGCCCGCAGATCCTCGCGCTCGCCATCAACATCATGGCCACGTTTGTCCACAACGAGCCCACGTCGCTCGCCGCCATCCAGGAGTGCAAGCTGCCCGAGTCCTTCTACTCGGCCATCGAGGACGACATCGAGGCCAACTACGACGTCATCGGCTCCATCCCGCACGCCGTCGGCGCCCTCTGCCTCAACCAGGCCGGCCTCGACCTGTTCAACTCGCGCTCCGTCATCCCCAAGCTCTTCGGCCTCTTCACCTCGGAGCGCCACAGCCGCGTCTTTCAGGACCGCGACAACGCGAGCATGTTTGGCTCCTCGATCGACGAGCTGATGCGCCACCAGCCCAGCCTCAAGGACAGCGTCATGGAGGCCATCATGAAGTGCCTCGACCAGATCGAGGCCTCGGCCGAGTCGTTTGTCGTGCCCGACGAGCCCGCCCGCCGCTCCCAGTATGGCCTGCTCGTGGTGCCGCCATCGCCAACACCGCCGTCGCAGCAGGGTGCCGAAGGCGGGACTGGGGCCGCCATCGACACCGACGCCGATGCCGACACGGGTGCCGGTGCCGGTGCAGCCTCGAGCGCAGCCTCGGAGCGGCACATCGGGCGTTCGGTCGCGCTGGCCGACGTCATCACCGAAGAGGCGACGCCGTGGCGAAAGGACGAGGAGAGCGTCGAAAAGAACCCGGTCGTCGTCTCGATCGACGTCACGGCGCGCTTCCTCGAGGGCCTCTTCCAGACGACGTCGCACTGCAAGGACTTCCTCAAGCTCGACGGCCTCGCCAAGATGCTGCGCTTCTACTCGCTGCCGAGCCTGCCGTACGACTTTGCCGCGTCGATGGCCGCCGATTCGCTCGTCACCCTCTTCCGCTACGTCACCGAGATCAGCCCGAGCACGGTGCTGACGGCGCTCTTCCGCGACGTCAAGCAGTCGCTCGAGGTCGCCGGCCCCATCTGGGGCGCCTTCCACCAGGGTGGCGACGCGTCGAGCGAGCCCAGGCTGCTGTCGCTCGCTCGGCCCGGCTCCGACGCCGAGGCCGAGGCGGCCAACGCCACGTTCCGCCAGCTGGTCAGCCTCAGCTCGCGCACCCACCTCCTCAGCGACATCTGCCAGACGTTTGCCTACGCCGGGCAGAAGATGCCGACCACCTACCTCCAGACGCTGCTCGCCAGCGAGTTTTCGGGCACCGTCAGCATCGCCGAGCTCGGCCGCCTTCACCGCGGCTGCGCGTGGGAAAACATGCTGCTCAAGGCCGCGCTGCCAGCGCCGCCCAAGCCCAGCAGCGACAAGGATCAGGCCAAGGACAAGGGCGGCGACGGCGTGGCCCCGTCGTCTTCGTCGTCCTCGCTGGCCGACGCTGGCCGCAGTGCCTCGGCGGCGGCGGCGACACCCCACGCGGGCCGGTCCCCGCCCGATCTGCTCCCACGGACGGTCGCCGGCCACCGTAAC